GCAGAAATTAGCCAAAACAACCAAAACACGCCAGGGAAAGGGCCAGCCGAGGGGCCGAGCGACCGAGGGGCGGCCGACGAGCTTGGGGCGACCAATGCAACCGATGGACAAGCGGAAGCAATCCAAAACAACCAAAACCGCCCAGGGAACGGGCCAGCCGAAGGGCCGCGCGACCGAGGGGCGATCGACGAGCCTGTGGCGACCAGCGCAACCGATGGACAAGCGAAAACATGTCAAAGCAACCAAAACACGCCAGGGAACGGGCCAGCCGAGGGGCCGAGCGGCCGCGGGGCGGCCGACGAGCCTTGGGCGACCAGCGCAACCGATGGACAACCGAAAACAAACCAAAGCAACCAAAACACGCCAGGGATCGGGCCGGCCGAGAGGCCGAGCGACCGATGGGGCGGCCGACGAGCCTGGGGCGACCAGCGCAACTGATGGATAAGCGAAAACAATCCGATGTAGACACACCGCGCCACGGAAAGGGCCAGCCGAGGAGCCGAGCGACCGAGGGGCGGCCGACGAGCTCGGGGCGACCAGCGCAACAAATGGACGAGCGAAAACAAACCAAAACAACCAGCACCAGCCAGGGAACGGGCCAGCCGAGGGGCCGAGCGGCCGAAGGGCGGTCGACGAGCCCGGGGCGACCAGTGCAACCGATGGACAAGCGAACACAAGCCAACACAACCAAAACAAGCTTGGTAACAGGCCAGCCGAGGGGCCGAGCGACCGAGAGGCGGCCGACGAGCCTGGGGCGACGTGAGCAACCGATGGACACTTGAAGACAAGCCAAAACAACCCAAACAAGCCAGGGAACGGGCCAGCCGAGGGGCCAGGCGACCGAGGGGCGGCCGACGAGCCTGGGGCGACCTGAGCAACCGATGGACAAGCGAAAACAAACCAAAACAACCAGCACCAGCCAGGGAACGGGCCAGCCGAGGGGCCGAGCGGCCGAAGGGCGGTCGACGAGCCCGGGGCGACCAGTGCAACCGATGGACAAGCGAACACAAGCCAACACAACCAAAACAAGCTTGGTAACAGGCCAGCCGAGGGGCCGAGCGACCGAGAGGCGGCCGACGAGCCTGGGGCGACGTGAGCAACCGATGGACACTTGAAGACAAGCCAAAACAACCCAAACAAGCCAGGGAACGGGCCAGCCGAGGGGCCAGGCGACCGAGGGGCGGCCGACGAGCCTGGGGCGACCTGAGCAACCGATGGACAAGCGAAAACAAACCAAAACAACCAGCACCAGCCAGGGAACGGGCCAGCCGAGGGGCCGAGCGACCGAGGGGCGATCGACGACTTGGAAGGACCAGTGCAACCGATGGAAGCGGGGCACCAGCCGAACGGGGGCCGAAGCGACCGAGGGGCGGCCGACGAGCCCGGGGCGACCCAACCGATGGACAAGCGAAACAAGCCAAAACAACCGCCAGGGAACGGGCCAGCCGAGGGCCGAGCGACCGAGGGGCGGCCGACGAGCCTGGGGCGACCAGTGCAACCGATGGACAAGCAAACAAGATTAGCAACCGATGGAAACAAGGGCCAGGGAACGGGCCAGCCGAGGGGCCGAGCGACCGAGGGGCGGCCGACGAGCCTGGGGCGACCAGCAACCGATGGACAAGCGAAAACAAGCCAAACAACCAAAACCGCCAGGGAACGGGCCAGCCGAGGGGCCGAGCGACCGAGGGGCGGCCGACGAGCCTGGGGCGACCTGAGCAACCGATGGACAAGCGAAAACAAGCCAAAACAACCAAAACACGCCAGGGAACGGGCCAGCCGAGGGGCCGAGCGACCGAGGGGCGGCCGACGAGCCTGGGGCGACCTGAGCAACCGATGGACAAGCGAAAACAAGCCAAAAGAACCAAAACACGCCGGGGAACGGGCCAGCCGAGGGGCCGAGCGACCGAGGGGCGGCCGACGAGCCCGGGGCGACCAGTGCAACCGATGGACACTTGAAGACAAGCCAAAAGAACCAACACACGCCAGGGAACGGGCCAGCCGAGGGGCCGAGCGACCGAGGGGCGGCCGACGAGCCTGGGGCGACCAGTGCAACCGATGGACAAGCGAAAACAAGCCAAAACAACCAAAACACGCCAGGGAACGGGCCAGCCGAGGGGCCGAGCGACCGAGGGGCGGCCGACGAGCCTGGGGCGACCAGTGCAACCGATGGACAAGCAAAAAGCCACGCCAGGGAACGGGCCAACCCGGCCGACGACGACCAGTGCCAGCGGAACGGGCCAGCCGAGGGGCCGAGCGACCGAGGGGCGGCCGACGAGCCTGGGGCGACCAGTGCAACCGATGGACAAGCGAAAATAAGCCAAAACAACCAAAACACGCCAGGGAACGGGCCAGCCGAGGGGCCGAGCGACCGAGGGGCGGCCGACGAGCCTGGGGCGACCAGTGCAACCGATGGACAAGCGAAAATGAGCCAAAAACAAACCAGCCGAGGGAATGGGGCCAGCCGAGGGGCAGAGCGACCGAGGGCCGTTGCGCGCCGGTGAGACAGGGCCCGGAAATGTGCAATCTAGTTTGTGTATGTTTCGTTGCTGTGTCTGTTTGGGCGGCCCCGGACACAATCTACTTGTTCCGCCGTCCTATTTCATGTTGTTTTACCTACGTCTTCCGACCAACGTGCACGGGATTGGCAAGAAGAGCCATCCAGGAATCGAGTTCCACGTGGACATGAAATTGTTGTTGATCGAAGCATGTTGGTTTCGATGCGACCCGAGGCAATCCAAATGTTGCATTAGTGACATGCAAAGCTTAGGCCCCTTGCACTTAGACACGCTTCCATTCCCGCTAGCTACACTGACTAACCCAGAAACGGCAACAAATACTTCGTAACTATTCTGAGACGAATCGCAGAGCGAGCAACACAACAACTGAATAATTGTCACACCTACACCTACATCACAAAGACGCCACGGTGCGCCGCAGCAGCTCCAGCATTCGTCAACCTCCCTAGAGCGTCCTCCTGTCGGGAACCACCAATCAGCACCGCTGGAAGGATCGAAGTAGGCGTTCGTCAAGGTACTGCTGGGCTGGACACTCCAGGGTTTCGCACAGTCTCGCCCCGCACCAGGTTCGACACAAAGTTGCTATACTTCGGAAGTTCGTTAATCTTCTTCTCAGTGCTCCCACTGCACATCGGCCACACGCTGGGCAGTCCGCACCAGCACCTCATGGGACTCGATGGTCCAGGTGCCACGCTCCAGAGTCTCACGAAGGTGGTCCTCGGGCATTTGCTGAGCACAGCAACCCGAGATAATGATTGTACCATCGATCAAACAGGCCTGCGTCCTGGGACGACCCAGGATCACACGAATGTTGGACAATTCGAGGTTGACGCTCTTCTGCGTCGCACTGCCAAGTCCAGCATCGCTCGTGAGCCTGTCATGCCCCTCGCGCGAGCCCGTCGCTACGACCATGAGCACTTGCCGACCAGGACCACCCTGAATTGGACCGTAGAGCATCCCAGCAATCTGACCTCGAAATCCCCTTGCCACCTCAATTCCATCACCAGCTGCAGCTACTTCGGCCGCGTAGGACTTCTGAGAAACATGTATTGGTTTTTGTGGTTCTTGCCGCACAATAAGAAGAATCGACCAGGACGTCCATTCACGAGGGCCTGCTCGCCCCACAGGATCAGGAAGCCGCCTTGGGAGCCATCCTGAGTCGTTGAGGCAGGTCCCGTCAGTCATCATATTACCCAACGAGTTGTCACGCACGGCCGGCCACCAGTCGCCAGGTTGACGCATTTCAGTCTGACGGTGAGCTTGGGATTCTTCGTCAGCTCTCGTGCCACCGCATTCGCCTTGATGGGTGCTCCGATCTGTGGCCAGCCCTTGGGGCCTTCCTTGTGCTCCAATGTAACACCACGTCCGGCCCGTAGGCAAAGCCGACCTTCCGCATCATCACGAGGTAGTTGGTATTCTTGGCGATCGGCTGATACTGTTTGAATTCGCCTGGCTTCATGACCGCTCGCGGCACTCTAACCGCATCCAAACCAATTATGTGCCCGCAGAGATCTCACACTTGCCGTGTCGCTTGAAGCGCCAGCTGCAGAGCAAGAAGTCATCCTACTCCTCGGATCCGAAGCCAAAATTTCTTGCCGGGCGTGTCCATCAACGCGGCCGCAGGAAGTCGCCTGTCCGCAGGAAGTCGCCCACGCGCACATAGACGCATCACTCCAGAGTGCCTCGAGGCAGCGTGGCGGTGCTGCGGTGCTGCACGGAACCAGTCATACGTTTGGTGCCTAAAGGTGCACTTCTCCAGCGCGCAAAGTCGCGCCCGGCTGCCGAGCTCAGGCAGCTCGGTGCCGCAGGGTTGCGAGAGGGTGGCACCAGGTGGCTCACGGTCGCACACCAGCGTGGAGTTGCGGCTTGCCGCCCAGTGACATTGAAAGGTTCGCTCGTGCTGCAGCCGCGGTCTCCGCTTGCTCGCACAAGCCCACCATTCGAAGAATCAAAGTGTGCATGAACATATGGTTTCGGACGTCCGCGCGGATTTCTGGGATCTGCGCTGGACCCCCCAGGCGGCGCCTCCGGCGCCGCTCATGGCGCGATGCGCGCCAGAGAGGGCGGCCCAGTGCCGGTTCCAGAAATCCGCACGGACTTTCGAAGAGTTATGTAAAACAGTTGTTCTTATCCTAGCCATATCGAAGTGATGGGTCGCGCTCAAGACCGCATTGCAGCGACCAGGAACCAGCCCTGGTTGGGGCGGAAGCGATCAGCGTGCGTGCATTTCGGCACAGCTCGCACGTGCAAAATTGTTGGCATCGAGCCGTTTACCAAAATGTTCGAGCCGAAAGGGGTGGCATGATGACAGTTATGTTGCTGATATTGGTGATGATGACGGTGACGTGACGGTGACGGTGACCACCCCGAGGAAGGAAACATGTGGCGCTCATAGTTGCGACATTGGCGCCCATAGCGACGACAACGGCAAATGGTGGTCGCATAGGAAGCAGCATATTGTTAGGTGCCCTTGTTTCTCGCCAGGAGCGGAAGCCACGTCGTGCCGAGCGCGAAGCCGTTGTTGATGGCGCTCCCGTTGCCAGAGGCACCCGCGTTTGGCCACGACCGAGGGGGGAGTAGGATCTAAAAGCGCAAACATGGGGCACGTGTGCGAGGGTTAGGTTCAATTCAGTAGCATTGAAGAACGAGGGCGCGAGGAGGCGGAAACAGCAAGAGGAAGATGCGGAGGATGATGAGGCGATGTGGAGAATCAGTCCACCAGGCGGAGGCACCGCGAGGTCGGGCAGTATTGTCGGATTCAGTCACGTCCTCGTTGACGCCGTGACGTCGCAAACGAAGATAATATGTTTTCACGCAGTGGTTTCCCCCAGTTTGTGGCAAGATGCAGCGGCATAGGATGGTTCGAGCATTGCTTCCAGACACTCTGGAGCCTTCTGCAACATGTATGGCACGGTCGATGCTAGAAAAGTGATCCCGCTGTGCTGTTCGGGAGGCCAAAAGACTCCATATCAATCATAAAGTAGGTACATCAAATATGAGATCCGCCTGCCAGCAGGTGCCCCACGAAAAAATCGTATCCACCGATGGCCCCAGGGACCAGCAGAAGCTCCTAGGCACTTTTGCACCCTCAAAGGTTAATGGAGAAAAAGGATGTCTCATAGCAAGATCTAGTCTCCAGTGTTGTTCCTCATGGTCCAGGGGCTAGGACACAGCCTCCAGAGGCTGTCAACGCATAACAAAATGCCGCTACCCTTTCTGCGACGCCGGGATCTGGGGAATACCTTCCCAGGCATCTGACGGCGTGATCGCTTGAACCTGCAGGCCCTAGAGGTCCTGACCTTCCTTCCTCAAGGGCAGCTTGTCGCCCAGGGGTCCTGTTTCTGATTGCCCTAGGGCTTGCAAGCAGCATCAGGCAACGCGCATCGGATTTCTCCGCTAGGAGGGTCGCCACCTCCCCGAGGAAATGCGAGGCCCATGACCCCCACAAAGCCCTCCAGAACCTTCCAAAAGCTGCCAGAATCCTTCAACATCTCCTCGATTTCTGATCCTCGAAGCTCGATCCTCAGGAGGAACTGGCGCCCCCCCTAGCGCTGACCCCCCAAGGCCTTTGTCTGACAGCCCCTTGCCAACTGCAGCCGTGACATGGGACCCGTGCTCATGAGTGGCCGCCAGCGCCCCTTCCCCCTCTCTCCTCCTCTTCCCCCTCCCCCTCCTCCTCCTCCTCCTCCTCCTCCTCCTCCTCCCTCCTCCTCCTCCTCCTCCCTCCTCCTCCTCCTCCTCCTCCTCCTCCTCCTCCTCCTCCTCCCTCCTCCTCCTCCTCCCTCCTCCTCCCCCTCCCCCTCCTCCTCCTCCCCCTCCCCTCCTCCCCTCCTCCTCCTCCTCCTCCTCCTCCTCCTCCTCCTCCTCCTCCTCCTCCTCCTCCTCCTCCTCCTCCTCCTCCTCCTCCCCCTCCTCCTCCTCCTCCTCCTCCTCCTCCTCCTCCTCCTCCTCCTCCTCCTCCTCCTCCTCCTCCTCCTCCTCCTGCTCCTCATCCTCCTCATCCTCCTCACCTCCTCCCTTCTCCTCCCCCTCCTCCCTCCTCCTCTCCTCCTCCTCCTCCTCCTCCTCCTCCTCCTCCTCCTCCTCCTCCTCCTCCGCCTCTTCTCCTCCGCCTCTTCTCCTCCTTGTTCTCCCTCTCCTCCTTTCCCTCCGTTCTGCGGGCCGCCTCCGATACCTCAATTGGTCCTCCTCCGCGCTTCGGCCTCGCACCGAGGAGCAAGGAGATCTCAGGACCCGCCGGGGGCCCAGGCCTGCTGAGGGGCCCTGCTAGCGAGAGGCTCCAGCAAGGGAGCGCGGTGCACGGCCGCGCGCGGGGGGCAGGACGGGGCCAAGAGGGAAGCGATGACTGCGGTCGGGGAACAAAGAATGGCATAAACACCAACTCTCGGAGGTCCGCGCGGATTTATGGATCGGCGCTGGAGCGCCTCGGCGGCGCCTCCAGCGTCGCCCCTGGCGCGCCGATCTGAGAAATCCGCAGTGATAAACCCCTCCCCGAAGGGGAAGAGTGGTTTTTGGAATGAGGAAAGAAAGAATATCGTTAGACCACCTACGCCCAGAGAGCTGGTGGGACTTGTGGAGTCCAAAACCCGGATAACGGAGCGCCAGAAGGACATCCAGAGGCCTCTTTGAAGAGCTTTGGAAGGTCGTGGTAGGAGCTTCCGAAGGAGCTTCTGGAGAACTTCCGGGCACACGTATTGGGAAACGCTTGGAAATGGCCTCTCGGGACAGATTTCCGGTTCAAGCAACTTGCGGCAAGGTGTCCTGCCTGAAACCGCAACGAGTTCCGTGCCTCTCCTTCGGAGCCAGATTCTACTTTGAAACCCTCTGAGTTCTCAGAGAGTCTTCCAGGAAAAATCCGGATTGCGGTGCAGTCCGAAGCGCACCGACCCTTGGAAGGACGCCTGACATGGTGCCTGGAGAGTTTGCAAGCTCGAGAAAGGGAGTTTCGCAAGAGCTCCCAACGAGCTTCGAAGGAACTGCGGGAATGCCTCCAGCACGCGTATTGGGAACGAGTAGGAAAACGCTTGCCAGGACACGCTAACAGTTCAAACAAGGCGCTCCGTGGAGTCTTGACCTGCGCCGGAAAGAGCTGCCGGGTCACTTTTTGTTGCCGGTTAATAATCTGGAACCCTCTTAGCTCTCAGAGAGCTATCCAGGAACACCCGAAACACATGAACATATTGAGCCATCCGAGGAATTAGAGCCTTCGGTGGGGCTCTCTATGGGGCCACGAGATGTGTGAGAAGGCCGACACTGGCCCAAGTACGCATGCGAACCCTGCCG